TCGCACTTACCTTCGATCACCTCTACTCCCAAGCTTTTGGCTAATTCAAGGCCTGCAATCATGGCCTCATATTCGGTCTCGTTGTTAGTCAATTTCACAGTCTTAATAGATTGTCTAATTATATTACTCGTTGATGGCTTTATTACGATACCAAGTCCGGACCCTTTGGCGTTCGAGGCCCCGTCTGTAAAGAGGGTCCAGATTCACGAAGGTGTCCCCGAGTTAATTAATAACTCTCTTTCGACCTCGGGTATCAGGGCCGATGTAAAATCGGCCACGAAATCTACCAATATTTAGGACTTAATGGCCGTCTGAGGTCGATATTCAATATTGTACCCGCTTACTTCTACGGCCCATTTGGCCAATCGGCCCGAGAGTTCGGGTTTATGCATAATGTTCCTTAACGGGTAAGTAGTTATGACACATATGAGCTAACATTAGAAGTATGGTTTTAGCTTCCTCGAGGTACTTAGCAAAGAGTGCGCCAATTTTTCCAGGTGGGGGTATCTAGTTTCGGCCTCACCCAAGGTCCGATTAACATAATAAATCGGAAATTGCGTACCTCGTTCTTCCCGTACAAGGACTCCACTTACCGCTATCTCTGATACTACCAAATACAAGTAAAGTTATTCGTCCGTCTTTGGTGTGTGAAGCAACGGTGGGCTCGATAAGTATCTTTTGAGCTCTTCTAGATCTCGTTGGCATTCAGGAGTCCATGAGAAGTTATTTTTCTCCTTCAGCAACGAGAAAAATTGATGACTCTTATCGGAGGATCTCGAGATGAATCGCCCAGGGCTGCGTTGCGCCCGGTTAGTCTTTGCACGACCTTCACATTGTCCACTACCATGATATCTTTGATAGCTTTGATCTTGTCAGGGTTGATCTCGATTCCTCGGTTGGATACCATGAACCCGAGAAATTTACCTGACCCGATTCCGAATGTGCATTTTTCCGGATTCAGCTTCATATTGTACTTTTTCAATATACTAAAGGTTTCCTGCAAATGCTGTAAATTTCCAACTATTTTCCTATTTGTTCTTCCAACATCCGATTTACTAGGCCAGTATGTGGCACCGACATTTTTTTAATCCAAACGGCATTACATTATAAAACTATGTGCTGTTTTTAGTGATGAAGGAGGTTTTTTCCTGATCACCCGGGTCCATCCGTATTTGGTTGTACCCGGAATAGGCATCGAAAAAACTGAGGATTTCGTGGTCGACCGTGGCATAGATCATACGATCGATGTTGGGCAAAGGAAAAGAGTTTTTGGGGAATGCCTTATTCAAATCTTTGTAATCTACACACATTCTTAGTTTATTCCCTTTTTTAGGGACTACCACTACGTTTGCTAACCAATCCAGGTATTTAACCTCTCGAATGGACCCTATATTTAGGAGTTTAGATACCTCGTCCTTGATGAAAATATGTTTGACCTCGAACTGAGGCCTCGTTTTCTGCTTCACCGGACTAATTTTCGGGTTCATGCTTAGTCTGTGAGTGGTTATTTCTGGTGGGATCCCTGCCATATCAAGATGGGACCAAGCAAAATAATCTTTATTAACAATAAGAAATTGAATAAATTTTTTCTGAGCTCGAGAGTTAATCTTGTGCCCAGGTATTCCTTCCGATCGGGCAAATGCTCGATTAATACAACCTCCTCCAGCTCTTCGACCGTTGATTTAGTTGCGTCAGAGTCATCGGGGAACCCCGTAATCATCGTCTTTGTAAGTCTTTTTCTTATCTGATCGGATCGTCACCGAAATCGATAATTGCTATTTGGCTTTTGGATCGGTGCCAGAATTCGGTTCCTTCGATGTTGTGAGCGCTGATATCGGAATTACTTCTTCGATGGCAAATATCTCTTTAGCGGCTGGTTGTTCCCCGTAGATTGCCTTGATCCCCCCGGGACTTGGAATTTTAACACTTGGTGAGAGTTGAGGGTACTGCTCTCATGTGATGGGTCCATGGCCTTACGAGAAGGGCGTTGTACCTCATATCCCCTTTGATTACATAAAACTTGGCTTCTCGTACGATTCCGGCGGTGATGACCGGTAACGTTATCTCCCCTTTGGTGGTTTCACATGCCATGTTGAACCCATTTAAGACTCGGACTGCTGGCACAATCCTGTCCTGTAGACCAAGCTGTTCTACGACCTTCGACCGAATAATGTTGGTCGAGATACCTGGATCAATTAACACACGTTTAATTCTTATTTTATTTACGAGTACAAATATTACCAGTGCGTCATTGTGAGGTAGTATGATCCCTTTTGCGTCATTGTCGCTGAAGGATAAGGCTCCTTCAGGTATGTAGTCTCGAGTTCGTTTCTCTCTGGTGACGGAGATTCTGGTGCGTTTCAACATTGGCCCTTGTGGGATGTCGACTCCACCGATGATCATATTTATGATGTGTTGAGGTTTAATATCTTCTTGTCCTGTCAGTTTGTTAGAATCCCTATTTCTAAAGTGGTTCTTGGCTCGATCGCTCAAAAATTCTCGAAGGTGTCCATTGTTGAATAAACGGGCTACTTCTTTCCTCAGCTGTCGACAATCCTCCATTATATGACCGTGAGTGCCATGATATTTGCACATCTAGTTAGGGTCCCTTTGAGCTGGATCGGATTGTAGAGGTCGATGCCATTTGGTATCACTGATGCGCCTGATAGCGGATACGATGGCAGCGACATCGACATCGACATTAAAGTTGTACTCCGATAGCCTTGGTGCTTCTTTAGGCCCGATGGTCCTATCGAAGCCATTTTTGGTCATGAGCCCCCGGTTGCTTCGACCCCCGATCACTTCTCCTGTCGTTCCTCACGGGGTTCCGCCCCGACCCACTGCTCCTTTGATCTCCATTATAGTGCCAATATCGATCCCCATTTGATCATGGTTCACAGTCGATGTCCCTCTCCATTATAGTCCTGGCGGGATATATAGACTTTGAAGGTGCCTCGAGTTGATCATCGTCAACTTTGATTTTCGATGGATACCGATTGTGTACATCGGTACAGGTAACGGCAGGGTATTCTATTAGGCTTTGCTTTAATTGTTGCGAAGCCAATGAGCTTCGAATATTGAGTCCCTCAGTGAAAGCTTGAACAACCCAATCATCAGCGATCGGCAACAGATCCATTTGTTCCATTTGAAAATGGGACGCGAACTCTCTGAGCATCTCGTTCTCCTTCTATTTGACTTTGAAAAGGTCCGATTTTCTGGTTTCAACCTTGACGACACCGGCATATGCTTTTACGAAAGAGTCTGCAAGCATAGCAAATGAGTCAATAGAATTAGGAGGTAAGTTGTGATACCATATCATGGCTCCCTTCGACAGGGTCTCCCTAAATTTTTTCAGCAAAACATATTCGATTTCGTCGTCTTCTAAGTCGTTCCCATTGATGGCACATGTATAAGAGGTCACATGTTCGTTCGGATTAGTCGTTCCGTTGTACTTAGGTATTTCGGGCATATAAAATTTCTTGGGGATCGGTTTTGGGGCCGCGCTTGGGGGAAAAGGTTTTTGCACGAACTTCTTGGAATCCAGTCCCTTCAATATCGGGGGCGCTCCTCGGATTTGATCTACCCTGGAATTATAGGTTTCGACCCTTTTATCGTTCGCTTCGATCCTCTTTTCCCCTGACTATATCCGCTTTGTCAGCTCCTCGAACATTTTTATAATTTCGGAGTTAGTCCCCGATTCTTGTTCATTCGACCTTACCATGGCCGGTTCCGTTCTGAGGGTGACTTCTTGGGGTGGAGCGAGTTCAACCCTACTCGGTGTCGGGGTTTGGCTTTGCAACTGAGCTATCGCCATTTGTTGAGCTTGTAGCATTTCGAAGATCATGCGTAGAATAATCCCGTCTTCTTCAATATTCTATGTGTTTCGAACTGCAGATCGGGCTCCACCACGTATGCTATTTTCAGGGTCGGTCCGCAAGTGCGCGTCGATGGCCACATGTGAATTTACATCGATTGGATCTGCAGTCTGAATCCCAACGACATCAGCGTGTGGCCCTGCATTAACGGGCGCCATGTTGTTATTCTCACCTTGATGACCAGCCTCGTTGTCGATATGTAGTGTGTGTGTTATGAAGATTTGTATCAAATAACCACTATTATCCTTAGCCTCACGGTAGGCGCCAAACTGTTTACCCAAAAAATCATATAACAATTGAATTTATACGTGATTTTAAGGATACGTGATCTAATTTGATACAAAGCGAGAAATCACATTTAATATGGAAGAATAAGTAGAAAAATAAATACAAACCATGCAGATTGAACAACTTAAGCCTCCCAAGGTTAATTTTCTTCGAATTTAGATGTGATATTATTGAAGCCAGAATAATATGAACAAAGCTGGAAAAAATGGTATCTTGTTCTCTTAAGTATGTTACAATGTCTCAAGACTTACTCCATTCCCCCTTTATATATACAGGGAGATGAGACCTTTAAGACATTATTTTATAGGAAATCATGTAGACCGTTGGTTCTCTTTTTGACTTAATCCCGTAATTTCCGTCATAATGATTGGTCAATGGCGAGAATCACGGATACTTGTCGTGTGAGTGGGTAAAGCTTTTCTTCGAGGCCGTTAGAAGCGGGGTCGGTCGTGCCCCCGATAAGCTCGAGGAAAAATCTGATGGTCTTGTTCGAACTTCGACCCTCGATATCAAGCTCAGTTATATCGGTACCTTCGATCTCTTATGCCGAGCCTTGACCCATTGTTCCAGATGCCTCGATCGAACATTGAGCTCGGCTCGACCCGTATACAATATGGTTTCTATCGACTTAATAATTTTAGTTCAAATCATTAAATATATACAAAAATTAAATTTAAAATCCAGTTCCTAACACCCGATGGCAAGGGACATATTGGTTAGGTGGGAATCACAGAGATGCTGGCTGCCCGCCTCTTTGCAACACTGAATATGAGAATATGTTGTCATCTAAGTATTTTTTTAGTTGTAATTTACTTGTAATTATACTCTACTAGACTGTGGAAGCTGGTTTTACAATGGCAAGGTTTAACAAGGCAGCCTATGAACTAGCCAAAAAATAATTAAAGGTGAAATATCAATACTACATACATTAATTAAGGCATGTAAAATTAAAAAAATAAAATAAAAAACGGTTTTCATGCTATGAGACTGCTATGGTTAAGTCCATGAAAAGAAGAATCAAATCCATTCCAGCTTTGCCTGTTTGAAGCTTCAAAATCACCCATATTACTCACTTCTCCATTAATCTGCCATGGAAATCCCCACAATTTTCTATTATTCTCACCTTCTCTTGCTATATTGCACATCTCTTGCTTCCCTGTGGCCAACGTAGAACTCATTTCTTGATCATAGTGCATTCCCATTTCTGCACTAATATTTAACCCCATTATTTCTCCATTTTCAACATGCCCCAATTTTCCATCATTATCAATCCCATAACACATATTATGGTGGAAAACATTTGGGGTTAATTCAAGAAAACCACCCCTTTGTGCACCAAGAAAATCATCATAATGAACTTTGTTACACATCATTAACATATTATTTTCTTCAATTTCCAAATGCCCACTTGCATGTTTTTGGAGCTTAGCAAATGCTAGACTTAAATCACTTGAATCATAACATGACAATGGTGTAAAAGAAGACAGTGGATAATTAGGGCTGCTAGTCATGGACTCAAGATCTTGGCTTCTTTTTGAGGATGTTCGTTTGTTTTTTCTACAGCCACCACCAACTGGAACATTTCTTAGTGTACCACCTTTAGTCCAGTACCTTCTGCAGGATTTGCAAAAGTATCTAGGTTGAGTGAGACTGTAGTTGTTATAGTAGCAGAATTTGGTGTTGGTTGAGTCACATCTTGGACATTTTTGTGCTTGTTCTGCAGCTAGCCTTGGTTTCTTTTCTTGCTCTGCTGGCTTATTTGTGTAAGCCAACATGCTTTCTAGTGTTTGGGATGACATTTCCTGAAGACAGAAATAGAAAACACAAGAATGATATATCTAAAATAATTTAGAAACTTTCAAGAAAACCAGAAGGCCTAGGGTTGATTTGAATCACAGAGAAAGCTAGAAAAACCTAATTATGGCTTTCCCCTCTCTGAAAAACCGGGTTACTTAATTTATATAGAAAAATAGTGGAAGGGGGTGGGGTGGGGGGATATTGGAAGGTTAGCTCTAGAGGCGGAAGTAACAATTTGAAACGTGTACCTATGAAATTATAATCCTTTTAAGTTATTGATTTCAAAATTAATAATTTATATTGAGTTTGACTAAACTTGTACTAGTCCATACTCTAACTCCGTGCATGTCGTGGTCAGGGGCGGATTTAGGGAGGCGGAAGAAGGTTCACCCGAACCTTTTCACCGAAAAATTATACTGCACATATAAGGCATAATTCGTTTTGTGTCTCTATATATTATATTTTAAATCCTTTTGAAATGATCGAAAAGTGTAGCTCAGTGGATTGAAAGGGGTTTCAAAGTCTTTGTGAGGTAATTGATTCTATTCTCATTGGTCATAATTTCTTTTAATTTTTAACGTTTTTCTTTTTAAATTCCTTTGCAGAAATTATGTCTTCGCCACTCGTGTGGTACGTTGTGGAGTGAAAGAAAAAGAGTAGAAATAGAATGGTGTAGTGATTACTAGGGGTGTATGAGAAATGTGTATCTAGGCACCTTAGCACCCAAATGAAGCTTTATACTACACTATATATGTTTAATGAGATAGTTGGGATTCATTTACTTTTGATCTGATATTTTAGGTTTTAGTCTTTTAAAATTAAAGATCTATTAGAATTGTGTTACGTACCTTTTAATGATCGTATTTGAAAATTTCGAATTAATGTGAACTTTATAATCAATGGTTTAAAAAGCTTTGTGAAGATGGAATGCTTAGATGGAGAGTGTGTCACTTGTATATCATGATATATAGTGTACTCATTATAACTCTGTATCTCCATCATTCCCCATTTACTCACAAACAAAGTTTACTCTGTATGACTGCCACGTCCCTTCATATAATATTAGCTACGTCACAGCGCTAACTGTTAGCTAGCTGTTGTGTAGGTGTGGGGAAATTTGTGTTACAAGAAAAGATTGATACAAATATAGTACTCATCATACTCATAGGCTCATAGCTTAGACAGATTCCATGTTTATATCATAACATTAACCATTGGCTAATCCGAGAAGGACATTCAACTTGATGTGCTAAAACGGCCCAAAAATATTGTTAAAACTGCATGATATTATTCGCTTTAGGTAAAATCCGTACTGTTTTAATTAAAAGGCCTCAAACTATTAAGAAATAATTGTACTTTATACGTAGACTCTTAATTTTTTCAGCTATTAATATGAGACTTTGTTCGCAAACTAATAATCTCCCCCTCGAACTAAGTTTCTCGTGGCTCACTAGCCACGATTCACAGGTCTCTCACTCGAACTAAGTTTCACGTGACCCATTACTACGATCCCAGATTCGACGGGACGAATATGGAATTGGCAAAGTGATGGTACGAGGAGGGGCGCGCACATAAAAAGAAGCTAGTTGCGGGTGGCCGTAAATCAACTGTCCTTCTACCTAGACAAATGTCCTTCTACTTCTGCCTTAAGACTGCTTCCTTAGTTTCTTCTTTCTTAACTTTCCCTTTTCTTCTTAGAAAATCAAATTTGATAGAACTTTTTGCTGGTTGCTATCGATTCGGATTAGTCGGCTCCGATGCGTATATTGCGTACTAAGTGAGAAATCAAAAAAAAAAAAAAAAAAAAAAAAAAAAAAAAAAACTAAAGATAGTACTAATACTTAGCCACATCTTTCCTCTTTCTCTTCCTTAATTATATTGCTTCGTTCAATCTCAATTTATTTGATATTGTTTGACTTGAGCGGAGTTTAAGAAAGAATTAAAAAATTTTGAAACTTATAATTTAAACAAAGCCTTAAATATTGGTATGGTTATAAATCATCTCACTAAGAATAAAATGAAACTTTTGAGTTATAATAAGTATAAAAATATGATTTTTTGGGGGGAGAAACTAAAAAGGAAAGTGTGCCATATAAAACAAAACTAATCCAAATGAGGCCATAGGGGAATTTTCATAACATCCATCTGACTTTTATTTACCACTTACAAAGATGTAAGATAAAATAGCATACGATAAATTCAATGTGTATTTTGGATCCTGCGCATAACATCAAAGCATATTTCATCAGGCAGGTCGTCTTAATTCTTTGTTTCTTTTTAATCTTAAAACACTCGAATTGTAGTGGTGGGCCCATAGAACAAAGTGGGACCATGGTAGATGATGAACAACTGAATATGTCAATATGCTTTAGTCAAATTAGTTGACTGGTCAAATATTTCCCATCACTCAAATAAAACACTATTGACACAAAGCAAAAGTATGTGGTGAGTGCTGTTTATAATGTATAGAAAACTGAGCCTCAAAATGGAAATTTACAATAACTGTATAGAAAGAGTATTAGCGAATAAAAGAATCTGCATGCATTTGCATTTGCATTTGCATTTGCATTTGCATTCCAATATCCTCTTTGAGAAAACATAAACAAACACTGTAAAGCGAATTTCATGTTCAGATAATTAGGCAGAAGGTTCTGATCAAATATATTAGGAAATCGAACATAGGATTTGCCTTGTGCTTTGGGCTCAAGCCGTTTGAAAACGTTTTTGTTAACGTCGAGGTCTGAGTTTCTAATTGGAGTTCAAATTGTATCCAAGTTGGGAATAGTTGTCGGTAATCTTTGTTCGAATCAGAAAATCGGAGAAGCGACTAAACATTAGTTCAATAAAACAAAATACAAAAATAATTCTGAGCCTACAAGTTTTTTGTGTATCTTTAAGTAATTTAATTTTTTCATTGTTGTGCAGGGTTATGGATTACTTTCTCTCAGGATAAAACGGAAAAATTATTCTGTAATACTACAATCGAAATTACAGAAATTCAACGAACTCAACAGCGGAGCAAATCACACTTGAAACTTTGTTTATTTGAAAAAATGACGAGCGCAAAATACACACTTAAATTATGCTCGCTAGTCAAAGATAGTATAGTATAATATCGTGTCCGCAGGGATTAGATTTAAATAGTATTATCGTAGTCTGTAGCTAGATTGCTATCCAAGAGGATCAACAATGGAGATATATATAAATTCTAACTACAAATAACTAAGAATCTAAAGCTATTGACTAATGACAATCAGAACAAAGGTAAACAAGAAAGTTATCAATTGGAGAAAATATGGGTTGATAGGATAGGTGCAAGATAAATGTTCGGGATCTAACTCTAGATAATTCACTTTTAATGTTCAAGTGAGTCTCTCGAATTCACTTAATTATCAGTACAATTGTTTAGTAGAAAATCCTCTCTCGATTAAGTCTCAACCTCACAATATAAACCAATTTAAGCTTGGTGAAGATATGCAAGAATTCATAATGGATTGGTCTTTAGGAGAACCTCTTTCGATTATCCTCCTAACTAGGTTTAATCAAGCATTCAACTAGGCTCTTTCGATTCTTAGAAGAATCTATGAACTCAACCAACAATATAGTGTAAATATATCATAAGTTTTGCCTCTCTCGATTATAAGAACAAGTGAACATAGATGCAACAATTTAATCTTCCCAAAATGATTCAAATACATATAAATAGAGTTATAATCCACAAACAATCATCAAAACCCAAAAGGTTCTACTCCATATATATGGAGAAGTTCTTCACAAATGAAATAAAAGTATAGGAAAGCATAAATACAATCCAAACTCGGATCTTGAGTGAGGAATGAAAGATGAAATCCTTGTGCTCTTGCTTCTCCCTCTTCTCCTTGACTTTCTTAGGTCTAAGGTATGTCAAAAGTGGTTCTAAAATGGTGTTTTGGGGTATTTAATCCGCCCCCAAAATAAAAACGGATGAAACTACCTTTTTTTAGCAAAATAGGACTTTTCTCGGACAGGACATGCGCGGTCGCGCACATGGGCGCGTATTTTGCACATCGTCCTGACCCAAGTGCGCGTCCAATGCGCGATCGCGCACTTGGTCGGCACCTTGGTGGTAGCAATTGGGAATTTGGGAAAGTGTAAAACATGAAAGTTGTATCCCTTTTAAATAACTTTCCAACGATATATTATGGAGCGCAAACGAATTTCTGAGCTAAAAGTTATATGCATTTTACTAGACAATGCACAATATGCCTGCTCGATTCTTCGTTTCGTTCTTCAAGTCCACTATCATCCATTGATCCCCAAACACGATCCCAACTTAATCCTTGGTCTTTTACTCAGACTTCAACGCTCTAAAATAGCATGAATTCATTCCACAACATCTACATAGACCGGAATCACTCCTACAAGGCATAAAACACACAATTAGTGCAAAATACTAGCGTTAAAGCTCCAACTCAATTAAAGTGCAGTAAATTAGAATGTAATAAGCAACTAAAATACGAGATTATAGCCTACCATCAACACCCCACACTTAAACCATTGCTCGTCCACGAGCAATCAAATTACACTTCACATAGACATGACCTTTTTAAACAACTCTCATAACTCATCATACCAAGAATATTTAAAATATACTAAGCACAATAGTGTAACATCCTAGCCTCAAGAGTTGACTCAACAGTACCACGTATTTTTCATAATCTGTTCACTTACTCTAACACAAAGGTCAATGACAAATACCATTCCTTCATGAATCAAGTGCCCTCATACAAGAATAGAGAGTAGTTCCACAAACAATAAAGTTTAAGAACAATTAGGAACTCAAGATAGGAAGAATTCGATCACTCTCAGAACAACATTCATGTGCAATAAAAGATGTACCATAAGCTTGTCCGTAGTGTACTATACTAATTAAGCTTATTCAGTCAAGGATCACGTAGGACTTTATTTGGTTGTATGTAGGTTGCGGGACGGGTAAGATACCTACACCTCCCTAAGTACTTTAATACATACAATTGACCGTTCAAAACCCCACACTTATATCAAACCATAACTCCACCTTTACATCAATATACATCAACTCCCAACTTCTCTAAACACAAATACATCAAGAGTTACCACTAT